TGAATAGACGTCTTTGTTTCTACTTTTTCTTGTATTTTTATCGATGTTTTGTTGTATGAGTCAGACTGATATAGCCATTGATTAATAGTTTGTTTATCTGTTCGTCTTTCTTTCGCTTGATCTTGTGTTATTGTTTTTTTTCATACATATCTGGAGACTTCTTTGATGCTTGCAAGTTTTGCTTTCAAGCTTAGTGCGTCTACTACTACATTGGCCTTTCATGATTTATACTCCAAGATGTAGTCAAATTCTGCCAAGAAATATTTTCATTTTGCCTACTTGGGGCTTAGTTTCTTCTGGGTCTAAAAATAGTTGGTGGCAACATTGTTTGTAATGACCCTGAATTTGGAGTCGAGTATGTACTGCCTCCATACTCAAAGACAATGTATGATGGTTGTCATCTCTTTTTCCTGGACCGTATAGCAACCCTCCGTTTCATTAAGTTTTCGGCTTTCATATGCAATTGAATGTCCGTCTTACATGAGTACTCCCCCTATAGCGAAGTCAGATGCATCAGTGTGTACTTCATATGTTTTAATATGATCAGGAAGGCTAAGTAAGGACTCTTCACTGACTGCCTTTTTGAGATCTTCAAATGCTTCATGACATCTGATGTTCCATTCCCATGACTTATTCTTTTTGAGTAAGTTAGTTGTAGAATAGCCCTTTATGAATCGTCCATAATAGTTTACAAGCCTCATGAATGATCTTAGTTCATGTACCTTAGTAGGGTGTTCCCAATCTTGGATTGCCTTGATCTTGCTTTCTTCCATCATGAGCTTTCCATCCTTTATTTTGTACCCTAAGAACATTACTTTTTTTTTTGCGAAGGAGCAATTTTCCTTTTTTATGTATAGCTTATTTTCTCTTAGTGCTTTGAATACTTCCCGGAGGTGTCTCAGGTGATCTTGGAGTGTGTTGTTATACAACATCATGTCATCCAGGTAGACAACAACAAATTGATCAAATATGGTTGGAATAGTTTGTTCATCAAGGTGTTGAATGTAGCAGGAGCATTGATTAGCCCAAAAGGCATAACCAAAAATTCAAACGACCCATATCTGGTCACACAAGTAGTCTTTGGTTCATCTCCTTCTGCTATGCTCACTTAATAATAACCCGATCGGAGATCCAACTTTGAAAAGTATCTTGCGCTCCCCAAGTGATAAAAAAGATTAGCAATGAGAGGAATTGGGTATTTATTTCTTAAGCTAATTTTATTGAAAGTTTGGTACTCTATGCACATGCGCAGGGAGCCATCTTTTTTTTTTTTTTGAAATAGAATTGGGGCACCATTTGGGGCTTTAGATGGTCGGATGAATTCTGTCTCCAACAACTCCTTTAATTGTTTACATTGCTCAGTCAGTTCTGGAGGTGCCATGTGGTAAGCTCCTATTGTCGGTGGCTTAGTCATTGATTCTAGATCGATCTGGTGATCGATCTCCCTTCTTGGTGGCAGTTCTTTTGGTAATTCCGATGGTGAAATATATTTAAACTCTTCAAGTACTATTACCACATTCCTTGGCATGTCTTCTTGGGGTTTCAATTCTTCATCGGAATCCTGGAGAATAGCCAAGTAGCCTCCTCCTCTTGTCGGATGCCCTTCTTGAATCGCATGGCCGATAGCATTTTGGCTTCTTACTCCCATATCTTATCGTTGATACTAGGCAAGCTTAGTTGCCTTCCATGATGCGTATGCTATTGGCAAATGGTATAGAGAACGGCTTCACTTGGTCCAATAATTCTAAACCAAGGATTATCTTGAAATCATCTATGAGAACGATGGAGAAATTTAGCGTACCTGACCAGTCTCCGACACAGGTTTTCACTCCTTTTTTCACTCCATGGATTAGTCTAGCTGCTGAGTTGGCCTCTTTGATGGAGCCTTCTTCTTTTGTAATTTGCAAGATCATCCTCTTTGCTTCTTTAATAGAGATGAAGTTGTGAGAAGCTCCCGTGTTTATCATGGCTTTACCAGTCGTCCCATCTATTATCACCTTCGCGAAGAGAAGTCCTTTTGTCTGGGTTTTTGGAGAGGAGCGCACCACGTTGTGTAGTTGCATTGTTCCCACCTGTACGGCTATATTGCTTCCTTCTTTCTCTTGATGGCTTGCAAGGAGAGAGTTCAAAGCCTTCTTGTGTGGGTAATCTCTTGCCCAATTAGGTCCTCCACAAAGGAAGAATTTATTATGTGATTTGGTTTTCCTGTTAGACTTTCTCTTGTCCTTTGCCTTAGATGAGGTCGATTCATGACGGCTCTTTTCCTTATGTTGGTCCTTGTCTCACCCACTTTTGACATAGTTACTCTTTTTTTCCTTTGACTTTGTAGACTCTTTTGTATAGTCGACCAAGCTTTCTGTAATGGCAATGATAGTATTGAGATCTTGTGTTCCATGCCTCTTAAGCTCAGTCTTCGCCCATTTTTGGAGTCCATCCATGAAGTTGAACAAAACATCTTTATCTAACATGTTAGGGATTTCAAGGACCAGGATAGTAAACTCGTTAATATATCCTTTTGTTTGAGCCTTTGCAACCGGGCTCTAGTCCATCCTCCGCATTCTCAGGGTAAAACTGTCTTTTTAGCTCCCTCTTAAAGTCATCAAAGGTGGATATTTTGCATATACCTTTATCTATATCTCCTCATTTTCTTCTCTACCACAATATAGCGATGTCCGAGAGATAAAGAGTTGCAAATTGTATTATTTCATCTTCATCTGTAATCTCCATCGCTCTGAAATATTGTTCATGTCCCCCTAAGAAGTTATTCACTTTCTTTGCATTGCGAGCTCTTCCAAAAATCTTTGGTTTTGGAACTTCAATCCTCTTAGCTTCAAAGGTGCCCTCTTAGATAATGAGATGCCTCCACGCATTTCCTCCAAACTAGCGCATACGTCGCTCATCTCTTTTTCATGGGCTATTCGTACCTCTTTGAGCTCCCCCATCAAATCTTCCCGCATCTTAGCCATTTGTTCATTCAATTACCCCTCTAGTTGGAGCATCACATCTCTGACCGTTGAATGGATTGTGATATCCTCCTCGAGTCCATCAACCTTTTGGCCAAAATCCTCTATCTGAGCCTCCAGGCCATTCATCGCCCCCTCCACTCTAGCAAGGCACAAATCAAAGCCATGCATGATCTCTTTGGACCTCCCATGTGGTTTAGATGCAGCGGGATCTCTTTGCTACTAGCGACCTTGCCCTTGTGCGTGTCATTTGATGCTCTTTGTTTTACCATCAAAACCGGGGCTCTAATACGAACTGTCACGGATTAACTTATCTCTAGTCACCCGTGCGGCTTTAGCGCTCTTCCTTTGCACTAAATCAGCCTAATCTTCACAACACTTGGGACTTTTTTAGCACAAAACACTCTAAGAAGCAGTAAGTGTAGGGAGAACTATTGGAGAAAGGAACACTTCACTAAGAAAGAAGAATGACAACACTTTGAAGCTTGGATGGTTTCCTTGGATGGTTAGAAATGAGGGGAAGGACTCTTATTTATAGTCCTCTCCCAAGTCTTAGGAACTTTCTAGATTACATTAGAAAAGACTAATTTTCAGATAGTTCTACACCATTCTTATATATACATCCTTCTAGGTTACTCTTGAGTTTATCCTAGGACCATTCTCTAGAATGAGGTGGAATCTTCTAGAGTTGTTTGGATTACTCTCCTCCATCTTGAGTCTTCCATCTCATGGTTTTATTTTCACTTTCTTTGAAGATGACGGGGTGTGACATTGAGCTTTAAATGAGTCTAAAATTGAAGTTGAGTGTGATATTAGAGCTTGAGCTTTTGAGACAATGTAAACCAGATATTGAAGCTGAACTTAAAACTAGAATTAAGCAATGTTCCCAATTTGAAGTCAACTTTGAGCATGTGATCATTGTTGAATCTAAACCTCATTTATAAAGTGAATTTGAAATAGAAATGGCCATATTTTGACTGAAGCTGCAATTTGAATTGGAATCTAGATTTCATTGTAAATTTAAACTTCAGATGGAAATTAAATTATGATTTTTGCGCATGAACATCATCATCGTAATTTTGCGCATGAACATTATCGTCGTAGTAGTCGTTGTTTGGAAGATTTAAAAATCAACAAAAATCCATCAAAACTCAACTTCCTCTTTCCAAAAAGAAGATAGGGATAGCTTCAACTTACAAAGCTTGCAAAAAGGAATGCTTCCCTTGCGCTCGCTTCTTGCTGGCTTCGTGCAAATAAGGAAGGGGGTGAAGCCCTCATGTGATTTTTGGCTTAGAGGCGAAGGAAGAGAGGGTTTCGATGTCCTAAACTTCTAACCGGAGAGGAGGATGCCCTAGAATCATGAATCGGATAGGAGGAAAGAAATGGCTTCAGCTCTGGCTTTGAATGGGGTTATTGAGGGACCGCGAGGTGGAGAGAAAAACGTCGCACTAACGCCGAGCATTGGGGAGACGAGGATCGAGCGATCGACATTGACGTCGAGAGATAGGGAATGGGATCAAGCAATGTTGTGGCGCCGAGAGGTAAAGGGACTGTTGAGGGGACACAATAGATTCAAAAATATTTTAGAGCTTCAAAGGAATAAGTTACATGGTTACGCAGCGTCGCAACTTACCTTTATTTTATTCGAGCAGCTCTTCTAGTTAACGAGTCGAGTCGGGCAAAGGTCAAGCTTGTGCTCATATATTATACGAGCTTGGTTGTAGGCTCGAGCTTGAACTCGAAGCTTGATAAGCTCGACTCTCGAGCTCGTTAACGAGTCGGGCTCAAGCCAGCTTGTGAGCTGGTTTGACTCATCTTTACCCTTAGTTGAGAGCTTTATCATTCAACTAACAGGTCTTTGATTCAAAGCCTTCCATGTGTGGCATGCGTATGTTTGGGTGTGTTTATACGAGGTGTGAGATATGGAAATACATAGGAATTGGGTGTAAATATATAGAAACTGCATATGTAAGTGCCCCATTTTTATTTCATCCAAAGAAATTGCAATATTTTAATAATCATCTTTAACTTTCACAGAGCCCATGCTTACAATTGGAAGCACAAAGCCTGTAGTTTGGTCTGATGGTTGGACCGCTGTAACTGAAGATGGAAGCTTATCAGCTCAATTCGAGCACACCTTACTAATCACAGATAATGGTGCAGAAATATTAACCAGATGTTGAAGAACAGGTCACTCATAAGATAAACAGTACAGTGATGCCCAGGTATATGCGTTGTATGTTCCTTCTGTATGGCTGGCCTGTCCTTGATTTGTGTCATCATGTCATTTAATGGGCAATTCAATTTTTTTTATTTTTTTTCGTCGTCAAAAAATACTTATTTATTTGGTATCATTTCGGCTTCAAAGCGTTAAAATTATCAATTTATCATTTCCTCTTTTGTTTGGAGTTTGAGGCTGTTCATCAATTTTAAAACAATGAGAAATTGATGTGTTATTATCAAAATAGTGATTTACTTTTACTTATTTAGGTATTTATTGCTTGATTCTCATGGAAACTATGGTTTATCTTATTGAAGTAGTGATACATTTTGTGTAATGAGGTTCTACCATTGGCTTTCCAATAACCTTCATGATCTAATTGTAAAGCTGAGATCAATTATGTGCAATGAGGACATAAATAAAAATTTTATTAGTGAGAAATTCTTACACCCAACATTCATGCATGAACAGTCACGTGAAGCTCGTTGTCAATTTGACGTTTCTCTCTGCATATGCCATGATACATGAAAATGATTGTGATTTTGCTCGAAATGTTTAATTCATAGATTTTTGGTATGTGATGGATCTTAAGTCCTGTTATAGTGCATGAACTAAGGCTCTCATAAGTGGTTAGGTGCATATAGAGGTAAGCAGTGGCTGAATTATAACTCTTGAAGGAAGAGGGGTTGCGAATGAGAACAATAGGGAAGAAATGGGAGATGAGCGAATGGTTGTGCGTGAATATCTGGGTGTGCTGGTTTGGGCTAGCTTAGAGCTGTGAGGAGAGGTCGTTGAGTGCAACATGGGGCTTCGTCTCCTGTCGGGGAGCGAACAATGAGAAGGGAGAGAAGAGAGACATCTCATGAAAGCATGGAAGAATCAAAGAATCATAGGGATGAGAATGCGGTGAGCTAAAGCAAAGTGCGAGCAGGGTGAGAAGGAACTAAACGTCGAAGAGGCCTGGGACCCTTACACGATCATGAAAAATTAACGGGAAGTGCTTTGTGCGTAAATAAAAAGTTTATGTGCAAGATATGTTTAATTCAATGTTTTGAGTGCTATATATGTAAATCTCCCTAAAATTTAATAAAATTTAAGTAGGTTTTACATGCATAGCACACAGCATTGAATTTTATAGATCTCCCACCTAAACTTTGTTATTTATGGCCGCAACACCTCCGTTAATATTACATGGCAGTGCCTTCTTCCTTTGGTTTCTTTTCATTGACATCAGTTGTCGTCGGCGAGCGATCATGTGACAATCATCGTGAAGCCTATGGGAGCTGCTCCGAGGAGATATGAGGGGGAGGAGAGGGACGAGTTCTTGTGCTATGCAAGAGATAGAGAAGGGTGAGAGTTGCACGCCGAGATAGAGGGTCTGTTTGGCGCAGCTGCAGCTTTGCAGCTTTTAAGTTGCAGCTGCAGTTGCCGCAGGAAGCTGCTTTGGGGAAGCTGTTGTGAAAAAGTTGGTTGTTTGTTTGTTGCAGCTGTGTGAAAACAGCTGTGAGACAATTGTTTCTGGAAAAATGGTCAGTCTATCCCTATTTAGTACTTTCTTTTTAGTAACAGAAATGTGACACCAATATATTTGATATTTCATAAGCAAAAATTTAATTCAAAACAAAACAAAAGTTCGGATACGCCACTCAGCAGTGTAGTGCATAAGAACATCAAACGAATGCCTCTTTATGTCACAATTATTTCATCAAATAGGCTTTGACGGGACAAAGAAAAGTAACAGAAAAAAAAACAATTTAAAATAATTTCAAGTGGTGCCAAGATGCATATTCAGTCAAAGCAACAATATAAAACAAAGCATTTGCACAAATACAACCCAACTCTCATGTATTAAACGATTTAACACCTAAATTTTAACTTTTACATTTATA